ACACTTCGTATCTCTGCTGCACGATTCGCTTCACCTACCTGTGAAGCGGACGCTGATTGAGCTGACATCTAAACTCTTACTCGTCCTCGGAGCGCCCCTACACGCCGTGACGTATGGATCCGGATGTAAGGAGGCTTTCCTGAGGAGATTCTCCTGTCTGGGGCCGAACGCTAGCCACTTTCTTGCTTCCGAAGATGTTGATCCTTCGTGAGGCAAAGGCTGCAGGGTTCTGTAAAGGCATCTAGATCGTCATTAGGTTCCATGACACCATTGGGGTGGTCAGCTTCGTGGGGCATTGCGTGGAGGAGGGCTCGTCCCCAAACAGGACTACCTGGGTATAGCGTCAAAATCCACCGTCGATGCAACCCATGTCCCCACACCAACTCGAAACTCGGATAATTTTCGTAAAGTCGGGGCCCGACACCACTTGAACACGATATCATGGCAAGATTACTTTCCCTTCATACTTCATCGGCTCGAGCCGGCTCGGGTGAAGGAGCGGCTACGGGAGAAGAAGTAGCAGCGCGTTAGAACTGCAGCGCACCGGTGCAATAAAACACTTAACTTGGCAATTGACATAAAACTGTGGACTTTGGTGCAAAGCGCTCGTTCCCACTTCAAACTTCTTGTGCATAACTTTCATTTGTAGAGGGCACGAACAGTAACTCCAATGGCTGTACCCGACGTTGCCAACCTCCAAGCCCGATACGCGCAGGAACGCGACAAGCGACTGCGAGCCGATGGTTTCCAGCAGTACACGACTCTACACAGCGAAGCAGAAGCCCCGCTCGCAGATGACCCATGGGTTGACAAAGGGCAGCAACAGGACGCGGGTCCACTCAAGGACGGCGACAACATCCAGTTCCTCATCATCGGTGCCGGCCACGCAGGTCTGCTAGCTGCAGGACGATTGGTAGAAGCGGGCTTCTCGGCGAAGGGCATCTACCTGGTAGACGTCGCGGGGGGCTTTGGTGGGACATGGTACTGGAACCGATACCCAGGTTTACAATGCGACGTAGAGAGCTACATCTATATGCCTTTCCTCGAGGAAACAGGCTACAAGCCCAAACACAAGTACGCGTCAGGCGACGAGATCCGTCAACACTGCGAACGTGTTGCATCGCACTTCGGACTGCGTGGACAGTTCTCAACACGGGTGCTCGGCGCGACATGGGACGAAACGAAGCGGCGCTGGGTGGTCCGCATGCGTAGGGAGCACGGCAATGGCGAGGAGATGACCATCTTGACGCAGTTTGTCGTTCCAGCTAGCACCATATTTACGGAGCCCAGGATGCCTAAGCTCGACGGCTTCGAGGAGTTGCGCGCCAACATTCCCGTCTTCCACACCGCGCGATGGGACTTCAGCTGCACTGGTGGCTCGCCGACCGACCCTACGCTTTCGAAACTACAAGGCAAGCGCGTCGGCGTCATTGGCACGGGTGCGACGGCGGTGCAAGTGATACCACAGGTAGCGAAATGGGCCGGCCACACATATGCCTTCCAGCGCACACCATCGTACTGTGTACCCCGCCGCCAACAGACCACGGAAGAGAGCACATGGGCACAAAACGTGGCAACGGGACCTGGCTGGCAACGCGCTCGCCGGCTCAACTTCGACACCTTCTTCGATGGTGAGAAGCATTCAGAGAACCACCCAGACCTTGTCGCCGACGGCTGGACACAGTATGCGCGCGGTTTTGCTGGCTTCATTGGAGGGCCACGGTTCGTCACGCCTCAGAATGTAGAAGAGCACGCACGCTCGCTCTACGAGATGGATGTGCCCCTGGCAGAACAGGCACGAGAGCATGTGCGAAACAGCGTCACGAAGGACCAAGCCACGGCAGAGCGGCTACAGCCGTGGTATCCTATGTGGTGCAAACGACCGACCTTCCAGGATGGGTACTTTGCCGCGTTCAACCAGCCCAACGTTACGCTTGTAGACACAGATGGTAAAGGCGTAGAGCGGTGCACACCACGAGGCCTCGTCGCCAATGGAGTCGAGTATGAGCTGGACGTGCTCATTCTTGCCACAGGATTCCTGCTGGCGACTGGTGCGAATGCAGCCCCTGCCGAACTCTTCGGCATACCCATTGTAGGCCGTAACGGCCGCCGTCTCAAAGACAAATATGGCTCTGCCGACTTTGCGACGATACACGGTATCGCCACAAACGGCTTCCCCAATCTGCTGTATCCCGGTCTCGGTGGTGGGCCAGGTTCGCCCAACCTCACCGCGGTCTTCGACCTCGAGTCCACACATATCGCCAGTATATTGAAGGAGGCTGCACGAAAGGCTTCGGATCCTACTCAGATGGTCATCGAGCCAACTAAGCAGGCAGAGGATGCGTGGACGGACGACGTTGAGAGGCGGGCGCTATGGTACTCTGTCGTGCTAGCCTGTACGCCGGGCTACTTCAATCATGAAGGCGCGACGATGCGTATGGCTGGAGGCGACCCTGAACATCGGCGACAGGCTATGCGGAGGGTGCTTCATGGAGGAGGGATGGCCATGTACGAGCAAATGATCCGCGAGTACGATGCGAAGGGCGACATTGAGGGCTTCGAGGTATCGTGATGTAGCATTATCGCGGCATTGTAAATAAGAACTGTAGCTTGTTATTATTTTGTATAATTGTCGTATGCGCACTTTTGGCTCTCAATGTGTCCATGTGATGAGTACCTAGGTACAGCCGCGGGGGTCGCGATCAATGGCGTTACATACACAGAGCGGCGACTTCATAAAGCCTGTGTCTCTCTTGAACATTACATTAGGGGATACAATGGTAAGAGCGCGTCGTTGGCTGAGCTTTGCTGCAGTGTCGGCATCGTCGCGTGGATGTTAATAGGACAGGAGTGGGTTGAGCAAGCCCGCGGCTCCTGATCACTTCTTGGCACCACGAACCTGCGACTAAACTCAGACATCGTCGAGGAACCTACAACCACAAGGGGCTTGTCGGATATAATTCGTCGAGGTCGTTGGGCAACATCGACTATCTCCACCACCTAGCCATTGATGGAAATGGTGAGTGGAGTCGTGGCGTGACATCGCCACGGCATGAGAATCCGTGTCGCTCTTGCCGACAGCAGATAAGTTTGCCTCGATGGAGGGTTTGATAAATTATGAGGCTTGATACGTGCGCTTCTGAAAGCAGGCTACAGTACGCGCACGCATACTCAGCGTGTGCGCTGTCCAAGTAAGACCCCATTGGGCGAGTCCTGGCCATACATACTCAACCCACTTCGTCCAGCCTGCAACTTTAGAGGAATGTTAACTTGATAGGTGGGCAATTGCTTCGACGAACATTGAAGAGAGCATTTGGTAGGTTTACAGTCCATGTTACACAGGTTGGGCGGACTTGGACTTCGCCTAGGTACAGATTTGACATCCATGCCCGACTGTATGAGCGGTCAGTCCTTGCACATCTTGAGCGAAGAGAGGGTCCATTGTGGCTACTATCTTGTCCAGGATATCTGCAGCTAGCTAATCAGTACATAAAGTGATAGGTCAGGGTCATCATATGTAATGCTGAGGCCGTATTGACGCAGAGTTGATTGCACAGCTGCAACATCGTGCATCGGGTACTTTGTCGTGCAGCGAATAACAGGTCATATTCTCCTTTTAAACAGGGTCTGTACTGCTGGGTTTGCGAAATGAGTTCAGTTGTCCCGAACGTTGTCGTTGGAATTCGTAAATGGTCCCGCCAAGCTACCAGCGGCGGTCGCTCCTACATTAAGCATCAATCTCCTTTGAGTTTCGTACCCTTCACACTCTGAGACACGACGCATGAACAGAGCTCACACAACCGCAAGCCCTTTGTCTTGACCAGTGACGACACTTCACTCTTTGCGTAGATACCGCGTCCATGGATCGCTGGTCGCTGCTTGAGTGCCCAGGTGGGCAGGCGAAACGTTGAGGCGCACGATACCGCTCGTGGAGGAGAGAAGAAGAAGCACATATTGGCTGAACACGACATGCAGCTAACAATACTGATGGTGTAGCAGACCTAGCTCGAAGGCGTCCGATCGGTGCTTCCCCTGGACCGTCACTAGTCAGCGTTAGCGCGTGACGGGGAAGTATCGTGGCTTCCCCGGACTAGATCGTTCCCTCGTACAGAACTGCAGATATTCCCACTTCAGGTCTCTTCCTTCGTCGCTCGTATGCGCCGTCAACATCATCACCAAACGTGTCGACACGAAGCCATCGTAGATAAGGTGTCCATTATGCCTGGTCAACCGTTATACCGACGTCGGGATGTCTGCAACGAAGCAACAACAATCGACCTTTCTTGACCGTCCATACCCAGCCTTCTATTTCACTTCGATCGCCGTAACGCCCATCTATTCGTACAATCGTAACCCATTCAGGACGTATCTAGACTCCAAACGCCTAGAAGAAAATCGAACAGCCAGCACACTCGATACAATACCGCCGTCTCGACCGTTGCATACATGATCCGACCATCGTACCCGCATCATACCCGCATCATACCATCACACCCCACTACCCTAAACACATCTGTCGGTCGAAAGCGAAATACAGGAAGCCCGTGTGTATTAGAAAAGAAAACGTGAATGACAAAAGAGACGTTAAGGATTATTTTTGGGAAGCGGTTGGCGAAAGGATACGTGGTTTCCCACGGCCGCTCCATGCTGGGGTATAAGCGTGAAATGCTTCCAGAGACAGGAGAAGTGGAAAGGCTATATCAAGAACGAGAATGTTGAAAAAGGGAAGAGACGGCCCAGACGTGTACGTGAAAGCGAGCGCCGCGCAACGTGGACAGGAAGCCCAACCGGAGATACGGCAGGGTCTAGACACGTAAACGAAGCTGTTGGCAATGGCGAGCGTGTTCACCTGAATCGCAGACACCAGTAAAGACGGCGCCCGCTTCGCGAGTCTGATGTCTCCGAACTAAGAGCCGCCAGGGAGGAGTTCTGGATGCTGACGTCGGTAATGCTTGAGCCTGGCATCGGACCTTTGGAAGGCGCGGTTGCAATGGCTGGCCTCACAGACCCATTGTCTCGCTTCGCCATGCTTTTGTCTCCTGTGCCGCCCGTAATTGCCCTGCCGGTAGGTTCCTGTAAACGTTGCCGAGCAGTAGGGGCAGTGAAGCGGATCCGACGGCGCGGAACTCCCTGGAGAGGTCGGTCTGGAGCTTGATGTTTCGGACATCGGGACATGGAGATGGCTGTCGTCATGGTTCGATCTACTTCGATTAGCACCTATCGACAGTAACGGTGGCACATACTCACACTTGACGGGAAGTACCGTACATTGCGGGTCGGCTGGGAACGGAACGTCCTTGAGCTCTTTGCTGTCTGGGTGCCGGATATGTAGGCGGCACGAAGGATGCCTGTCCTTGTCCCTGCCAGTTATAGCTATCTGTGCTAGTGGCACATCTTGCGCGCGCTGATAGACCACGAGATCGAGTACTAGAAGGGCGTAAAGTATCCACGCTGGACTCTCCCCACTCGCTGTCAAGTGACATCGAGCCTGGAACGTGTGCCCGGCTGGTCGTACCTTGGACGCCAGGTGTGTTGAGCACATCCATCAATTGATTGACGTGCTGTTCCAGATTCTTGTGCCGGGCTCCCTGAGGGCACTCTGCGGTTCGCGAGCCTATCGGATATATTACGACTGGATTTCGTCGAGCAGGCATCGTGTTGTTGTCTTCGGTGTAAGGGTTGTAAGTGAGACAGGGCTGTCTGAGGTCGGGGAAGTTGTAAAGTGGTTGCGTGACTCCCAGCCCTCGGTCGTTGTGTCCTGCCGGCGCAGCGTACTGAGGATACAGGTCCGCGCTGCCGTCTCCAGCGTACATGACAGGCCCTTGGCAGGGATCGAAAGGCTGACCGGGTTCGAATTCTTGGGTCTGGTGAGCACACTGGCCATCAGTAGTGTATGCTGGACCACCTCCGGATCGTAGGCTGTACCCCGACGGCGAGGATTGCGAGTAGCCAAACTGGTCAGCGTACGGACCGTTCTGATGGGCTTTATGCTCCAGCCATTGCTGATCTAAGTCTTGAACTGATGCATTGGCGTAGTTTTCGTGCTGTTCAGCATCACCCGTCGAGTCTGTTGCTCGGCAGAACTCATCGCTCGTTTCGGCATCGCTGTGCTCAACGTACACGTAACTGTCGTAACCTCCGGAGCTCGAGGACCCTAAGGACTCCATGATGGTAAGGCTTGGGCGACTTTGGTGACAGGAGTGCAACTCTTCTTTCCGGATGGGTCGTGACACCTCTAATCTTTCCCGCACCAAGGAACGCTTCTAGTGGTAAGGGTGAGAATGACAGACTGTGTAAAGACAAGTCGGAAGAGGGTTGAGATAAAAGAGCTTGGGTCTAGTTGGTGAAGCAGACGATCCGAGATGGATGGGGATGGCGAAGGGATGTTCACACACCTGTCTCGCTGGCGCCGGTTAGCGTGCAGGGGGTAATCAGAGCTGGGGTGTTGCTGCGCAGAGTCCTTGTGCGACGGGCCTAGTTCTTAGTCCAAGCCGATGAATCCAGGACTCGGGATGTAGTATGTGTGAAGACTGAGGGAGATGAGGTGCACGCCAGCATATAATGGTGATGGTGGGTGGTGATGATCAAGGCGACCGGGCATGCGACCGTGGATGGCCGCAACTACCACATCCACGTTGAGGCGACGGGTAGGTAGTCCCTCAGGGAATGCATCTGAAACACAGGCGGACAGAGTTTCGATTGCTCCACTACAGCAACACCGACGCTGCTGTTTGATAGCACCGCTGAACGGCAGTTTTCGGCAACGACGTCGTTTCGTTTCTTGCAATGGAGCCTTGTTCTGGATTCAACGTCGCGACTTCCTGCCGCTGTTTTCGAAACCAAGCAAACATTGCTTGAGCGCGCATCGGCGACAGCTAAACTCCGCTGGTAGTCCAACCAGGCGGTGTGGCATCGCTGCGATTGGCTTCATATGAGGTCCTCCACTTGGCACCTTTCGACTAGCCCCGCTGCGCTGTAGCTCAAAGGGCCACAAAACCATTCAGGGGAAAGGCGAAGAACAACAGTGAACTCTGGGCTTGAGCATTACCACAGCATTCCGCCGGCAGTAGCAGTGTGGAGATGCGTGGTAGTCTCCTCCATTGTCCATCATCGTTTGGTATAACGTGTCAGGGATGCTACCCTTTCCGCTGTGTCGCCGTGATTGGAGCGGCCACGGACGCGCTTGATCTTCTCTCGTTTCGTCATCGGACTCGCGCTATGGGACTGACAGACTGGATATCGTGGCGGAGCGCAAGGCAGACTGTCGGCACAATCAGTATCACGCTCGTCAACATTGACAGCGCGAAGCCGTCTTTTGAAGTTGCTTTAGGGTACACCTGGCTGGCTTACCATGGCGAGGGGCTAATTCAGCCTAGGAAGGCTGCATTGGGCGGGATGATAAACGTGCAGGATAGTAGAGTCCAGAACGCTTGAGGCTTCACTGACATTCGGCGTGTATTAGGAGTTCGTAAGAAATGCGAAAGCAGCATCCAGTTCTAATCTGCAGCCGAGACAGACTGCCTTTATCAATCAACCGCTGACCGAGAACTGGCCCCAAGATCAAGGGTACCCCTTCGGCGCCCCCTCCACATGTCACTGGCATGTTGGAGCCTTCCTACATGAAGTCAGCCACCTTGATGTGGAGGGGCGGGTCCGCGTTCAGCGATAGCTCTATGCGGCGGTTTTGCAACAGCGACTCACAACATTCGACGCGTCCTCATCTTCAAATGCTTGCGTCCCGAGCGGTACTGGACAGCCACACAGCTTAGTCTAGTTTATATCGATACCTGGCCAATCGTGCGATACTGTTGTGACAGCTATGGCATTCAGCCCCCAGACAACTTTGCAGCCTCTACGAAGTGGATGTGGGCTAACGGAGTTATGTAACAACTCGCGCGCGTGGATAGCGCTGTCTTTGCCTAAGCGCCGTTCATACCTCTGTAGAGTGCCAATATCCGGCCACTGTGTGGACATGCTAAGCCACTGTGCATATGTATGCCATCCCAGCGCAGCCCTCACGCCAAATGGTCGCCCACTGATCAAGAAGGTCATCTAGGCCGGCGCGACGGGCTGGACACGATGGATCTCAGCACGGCTTGACATCGCCTGTTCCCACAAATCCAGCTAGCCAGCAGCAGTTACCGAGACATGTGTAGAAGGGACATATTACAAACTCTGGGTGCTGCCGAGGTAGGATACATCCGCCGGCTGGGGTTGTCTATGCTGCAGAAGCCACCGAACTGATCGGTCGATACGAACACCTGTTCCAACATTGGTCTAGGGGTCTCGCTCTTCTCAGCTGGCTCTAACGAACACCAATCAATACAACCAACAGTTAGTCAAAGTGCGGGCCGCATTCTTGGTGTATGCCGCGACTATGCCGCAATCTAAGTAGACAGAGGAAAGAAGAGGTATGGCTCGAGACCAAAAAAGGCTTTGCGCTGCATCGAGATAGCCCTGGAGCGGATGAGCGGCTAGATGCCCAGGTGAGGCGTAGTTCTAGCCCCACTCATGCACGCCTATCTCTCGACACCATCATCCTTCCAAAGGATGGAGCCGATGCGTAAGAAGGGTGTCGTCTGAATTACGTATCTGTCACTAGGTGATGCTGTTTGTAAATTTTTGCGATGTTGGTACATGCACGGCTCCGGAGGTCTGAGGTCAATGTGTCGGCATTAGGCGCGCCGCCGGGGCTGGCCCCAACGCGACGGGAAGCTATTGCGAATGGCGTTTGCAATACCGCTGATCCAGTGGGCTGGCATTGCTCATCGCACTTGGTAATTGGACGGGACAGTACGCGAATGCGACCGGGCTGGTGGTTCGTTCTTCAGGGATCGATAGCCTGCTTATGGCCCATAAGTTTGAAGGGAAATCTCACTGCGCCACTGTCTTTGGGGGCTCCGCACTCGATTCTGAAGTGTGTTCGCTAGTAACCTTGGGTAAATATATATTGAGGACTACGCCGCTGTGATTTGGATGGTAGTCAAACCCCTGCGTGTGATTATGTGGTGTGCCAAACTCAACAACGCCGTTTCATGACCCCGAATTGCGTAGGCACCAGCGAAAACTCAAGATCAGGGTGAGAACTCTCACCGCCGGTCGCATCCTCTCAAGAGTGGCTCGATGACATCAGCTAGAACGGTTTCGGTAACTTCCCAAGACTAGGGAGACCAAAAACTGTGAACAAAGAGTGAGTTGTCAAAGATCGCTGCAAACGTCAGGAGCCCTTGCGCAAGGAGCAACTCTCCGCAGCCACAGAGAATCTACGCGGAGCGGTGATAGTTGCCGCGGGCCGCTCGATCTGTTCACCTCGCAACTGCCGTACTCGGGACTGACTGCAATTGGGATGATAGCGTTGCGTTCGAGTTGTGAGTCCAAGGGCTTGCTCGATTCAAAGCGAACTGCATGTGCCACGAGTGCCGAGTACAGCACTAGCTGCGCGATTGTAATGATGGCGCCGTGTGCGACTCGTGGGGACGAAGGGCTTACTTGATTGACAGCGAACTGCATGTGCCTGAACGAGATGATCTTGAAAAGCATCAAATCACAGTGCGAAGATGAATTCTGCACTCCGTGGACGGAGAGGGGCGAACCATGGCGAATCATAGACGGTGTCGATGTGATGTGATTTGAAGCGCGCTTTCACAAGCGAACATTTACAACTCCGAGTCCAGTACATGATACTTCTACTATCATCGTCATATCTTCCCATAAAGGTGACTGGAAATGGGTTTACTGGGCGGCGAAGTATCGGCTGTGCTGACCACCATCGAATCTACGCCCGTCGGGCAGTAAGCACAGTCATGAAGGCCGCAATGGCATATGTGACTGTGATAGGATCGACTCTAGATATTTATGTAGTTCTGATTTGCTCCGCCTCTTCCAGACGCAACGATCTTACTCACTCTGGACCGGAGAGTCAGAATTAGGCAAGACTGACCACGATGCCCGATTCCTGTGATGCAGCCGTCTGCTATCTAGAGCCAATATGTGTAGATGTGGTTGATTGATTGCTGTGCATTGGATGTAGTGAGTGGAGTCGCTTGTGACAAGGGATGTTCCTTCGTCATGGCGCATTGATTCCAGTGTCCAGACTATCGACCTCTTTCGAACTTACGCCCCGTCGAGGCGTGCCGCACTCTTGCAGGTTGATGTAACTTCCTGTGTAATCTGCAAGACTAGCGATTAGGGAACGGGGCCGAGAAAGGGTATGATCAGACAGAACGCATGCGGTCGTCTTCGCGGCCTGGAGAAGGGTGTGTAGTTATAGTCCATGCTTACCCCGATCTGAGACAGTCAATCCCTTTGTTCTCCTGCATTAATCGGTCTCAAAGCTTCTCCACATATCTGACACGCTTGACATCTCTGCGAAAAAATGAAGTGCTTCCAACGTGCCGGGCCACGACCCATGATTGCCAACGATAATAAGCACTGGAACGAAGACAGTGAGCGACGTGCTTACAATGATCGGATCAGTCGTATGCGGAAGATCGAGTACCCAATGCTTGAAGGTATGCTCAGACATGATACATCTTTCACATGTCACTGACGGCACCTAGATCTGACGTACCTCGATCATGGCGGCACGACGCTCGCACCCAAGTCTTTACTCAAGTCCTTCTGCGACGAGATGCAAAGCACTCTCCTCGCCAATCCTCACTCTGATTCATCCAACCCGAGTTTGACTGCCGTCATGGTAGAGCAAACCCGGCTTGCTGTCTTGAAGATGTTCAACGCCGACCCCGTTCACTTTGATGTCGTCTTCACCGCTAATGCCACTGGTGCCATCAAATTGGTGACAGAAGGATTCTCTGGATACGAGAAAGGATTCGATTACTGTTATCATCGTAACAGCCATACAAGTCTGGTTGGTGTCCGAGAGCTGGCCAATCGTAGCCACTGTTTCGCATCCAATGAGGAGACAGAAGACTGGCTCGCCGGAGCGAACGACTCTTCCTTCGAAGGTCCTCTTGCGGGGAGACCATTGTTGTTTGCGTATCCAGCGCAGTCGTAGGTGACCTTGCACTTGATGGAAGAAGAGTTGGCACTGACGTTATTGTCCACAGGAACATGAACGGCGAGCGCCTTCCGCTGGATTGGACAGGCAAGCTACGCTTGTCGTTGCATCATCCGAACTCTTACTCTCTGCTTGACGTAGCAGCCTTGGTATCCACGACCCCAATCGACTTGAGCAACCATCTCTTCGCTCCTGACTTCATCTCCTTATCATTCTACAAGATCTTTGGGTTCCCGGACCTCGGTGCTCTGATTGTGCGGAAGGCGGCTGGCCATGTGTTCGATCACCGGAAGTACTTCGGCGGCGGCACGACAGAGATGACAACTTGCCTTGGAGAATCATGGGTAGCCCGCAAGGACTCTAGCCTCCATGCACGGTTAGAGGACGGGACGGTCGCTTTCCGGAATATTCTTGCTCTGAAGTGTGCTATAACGACTCATCGCGCGTTGTTCGGCGGGCTTGAACAAGTCTCGACACACGCTAGGTGGCTTGCTAGCATCCTTCACGATCGATTGACGGGCATAATGCACTTCAATGGTGCACCAGTATGCCAAGTATACAAGTCGAGAGACTCTGACTATCAAGATTCGCAAAGACAGGGACCGACGATAGCTTTCAATATACAGAGAAGCAATGGATCATACATCGGCCCGTGGCACGTTGGAGCGTTTCTCAGGGCGAGCAAGATCCACGTTCGCACGGGCAACGTGTGCAATCCTGCAGGTATGGCATGTGCGCTGGGTGTGGAGGCTGGATGGATACGAGGAGCGTTCGACGCAGGTCTTCGATGCAATACGGAGGCTGATGTTGTGGACGGGGTGCCTTTTGGAATAGTCAGGGTGACCCTCGGGGCCATGAGTACCTTGGAAGATGTTGAAACGCTCGTGAGTTGTCTTTCGCGGAACGTCGTAGAACGCCGGGGGCCCCTCCAAGAGACTGCGCAGGTTCGTGACAAGAGCAAGGAATGGGTGGAGGAGTCAAGGAGTCCCTCCGCTGTCTCGGAGATGACTACAACCCGGATAGACCCAACTTTCCTAGGTCATGGGGAGCGAACGACCACATTGAAGACCCCGGGGAGCTTGATTCTGTGGCTGAGGAGGAGGAAAAGGTTGTATCCGCGCTTTCATGGGAGAAGGCACATTGGTTGAAAGGTAGTCGGTGAAGAGCATATGTTTTCGGTGGTCTTTCGCGCCTGATCCTAGCTCAGCTATTAAATAACGACGTCATGATATTTCCTTCGCACTGGTCTCCTACCTAGGTACTCGTCCCTTTGTTGATCTCCACATCATCCATATACTCCGGAGTACATTCGGGCAATTTGTCGTGATTGGTTCGGCGTGGGACTTTTGATGAAATTGGGATGAACAGCAACGATCGCGGAGAGCCGCCGTATCCTGCCCATGTGGCACGTGATTGCGACAAGTAAGCTAGTCCATAAACAGCTTAGCGTGGTTTTTCCATCCAACCAGTCTCCCCAGGCGGGCTGAATGCACCCGCATGCGCGAACGCGATACACAACCGGCAGATGCATGGAGATTTCAGTGTACATGTGGTAAGCAAAAGACATGTGCTTCTCAGATTAGCTTGTGAACAGTGGATTTGTCATGTGGCTGCTCTACCTAGGTACCCCCGGAGCTAGGCCAAGCCCGCGCAAGCTGCAGATGTCTGGTGGTTTGACGCCACAATACTGAATGAATGCAGGTAGTGTCTTGGCCTGACAGACATGGTAGTCAGGTGCGGCTCGTTTCGCCGTCACTTTGAGACTCTCAGTCCCGAAAAGCTTGCCTTTCTAGAGTAGGTAGTGGACAGCTCGAATCGCAAGGGCAAGCGCTGCGAGCTCCCTGAACCTCACTGTCAATGAGCGCCCAGCTGTCAGATCTTCTACTGAAGTCACGATCAAAAGGTGGGGAACCATAGATTGTCTAAGGTGAGTGTGCCGATTCGAACTTGATTGGCCCCATGCCGCTGTGTAGGTATGCACCTGGGCAATCACTCGCTACATATTGAGCGCTAGTCCCGAACTACAGCAACCACTACGAATGTTGCACTCAACATGTGAGGATTAGGAGCCCCGCACTTCGATCGAGATAGCGGATTTTCCCATTGCCGATTACGATTATCCCTGGCTGAGCTGCGAACTCCTTGCCTTGCACCAACACTTGGCCTGAGCGGAAGCGGAAGCGGCTCTGCGATTGACCGGCAATCAACGAATCGATTTCGAAGGCACAGTGTCGCGTGTTTCCAACTGCTGTAGCGACAGAATCGATTACCATCAGCGGCAGTGTGGTCATATACACATGCGCGTTTCTGAATACGATTCCTAGGCCTACTGGAAGCCGTCAGGCTCAAGAATGCGTCTTGTCAATACGTCCACAAGATTTGGTGTTTAACGCAGCAGTAATCCAAAGTAAGCGTCGAGGGCAGAGCGAGGATTTTTGATGAGCTTCTTCCACGTAGCTATCGATGCTGCCGGCAGTGGCAAGCCGTGAGGCTCTGTGGTAGCCAGCACAGCACGCACAACTTCGAAGGCAAGGCTGGCTGTCAGCAGGTTGACAAGGATAAGGCAGAATTCGTTTACCACTCTGTCGTGCCGCATCTCGCCAACCGTATGTGCGGAACCCTGACGGTTGTGTGTCTTTGTGCAGTTACCGAAAGGGTTGCGACCTGCCAGCCCGCATCCGTCATGCAGATGTTGAGAGCCAGAGGCGTTCATATTGATCCAGCCATAGACAAGACCGCGTACGCAGTCAATCTAGTATAAGCGCAGCTGCCCTTCCAAATCATGTCGCACACCCGAAGGGAGTCTGTTCACCCCGTACGTTTTTCTTCGTCATGAACTGTGCTCGCCAGTGCCACGTCTTCCACTCGTGGAGCCGTTCGCTACTCACTGGAACGATCTTGTCGTCAGCCTGTATATGCACTCAGAAGCGCCTTGAGACTCAAGCGTCAACCATGGGGTTCCTAGCACTCGCTTTACCCGCTATACCTGCGAATACAGCAACTGACTCATGCCGGGTGAGGAGGTCTGCCTCGCGCTCAGCCATTGCCATCAGTTGCAGTACAGTTGGCGATCCGGGATAAGGGTGACGTGGATGAGACATGGTAAGAGCATCCTAGATCCAAACTCGCATCCGTTCGTAGGTTTGCCTGCTGCTGGTGGACGTGCGACGGATCCAAGGCGGGTATCTTCTTGCTGACGCGTGTCATCAGTGGCCCGATAGCAGCCTCCGTCGACACAGCGCCGCGGTACTGTGGCCGGCTTTCCATCGCTGACACGGGCACGGCAGGACTGAAACCATAGAGTATGGAGTATCTTCAAGTCGATGCACGCGGTCAGATTGTCCTCTTCATCCATTCGAAGAGTGTCGAACCATACGCAGTCTTCACCTTCGAAATACCGCCTGTCCACCCCAAGCCGCCTTGGGCTGACCTTGTTGATGCTCTTTTGCGCGCACATCTGCACAGCCACGTCAATGCTAGTGCACTCGTCAGTACTGGACGAAAAGTGAAGCAGTCGGCCAACACTGGTTCAGGTTTTTGACATCGACGTCTTAGCGAGACAAATGTCGTCAGGTGCTGTCAAGTTCGAGGCGTCCTCTTGGCGCTGGTCTTTGTCGTCGGGCTCGCAGTGGTCACCATCGCTGCGTCACCCAATACCTCCAAGACACATTGTTGTTGCTGCTCATTGCACACTAGACGCCCCTCTCTTGAAATCAATCTTTCTCCGCTACCTCTCTTCTTCCAAAGTTGCCGGCGTCGTCAACGTCGCCTAGCGGACCTCCGAATTCGACTGAAAGTGCAGCCTTCCTGCTCATACCCCCGAGTCGCTACACCACGACACCCAAGCCTCCAGAAGGTTTTTCTCCACGAGCAGCCTGACGAAGGGCACCCTATACACAAGAGCAGTGGCATGGAATGCGATATTGGACCCGACTGGCAGGAACGCTGCAGCAGTCTCGATACACAGATGAAGATGTTTGGCGCTACGGGTGGTCTGAGAGAGTCAGCAGCGAGGCACCTGATGGCGGGAATTCAAGAGCATGAGCGAACAACGCCAGAGCATCGTGATACTATCGGTCACCTCGGAAGCTTTGTGCCGAGATCGGTTGTACCAAGTCGCAAGGCATCTAGGAACGTCGGCGGCCGGTACATAACCCAACAGTGGCAGTATGACATGCCAACGTACGATGCATGTAACCCGGGTGGGAACTACGTCGACTATGCAGACTCCATGATGCCTATGCGGGCTGACAAGTACGAACGGATTCCCCCAACACAGCCAGCGATGGGATGCAATGATCAATACCCTCAGGCAAGCTATTGTCCAAGCGAACCGTGGAACGTGTCAGTACTGTCGAATCCCCAAACGTATTCCCATCATAGACGTAATGCAGTACCAACCATCAGCATCGACTCGCCAAATGGCGAGAGTGGGGTGACTGGTCCTAGAGCTGCAGGCGGGTGCACATCATACTGCAATGCAGCAGCGACCACATCAACATTGTCAACGTACTGTCTGTCAGAACATGAAGCACAAGTGGAAGGTTGGTCGGGTTCGTATCTCTCTCCGGAGACATATAGTCAGGCTTCCTCATCTCGACGGAGCTCAATGGGTTCAATAGCCTCCGCGCCGAGCCGACTTGCAGTAGTGTCATCTGATCACACGGTAACACCTACAGAGTATGGGGGCTGGCAGTCACCCAAGTAAGTCAGTGTCCTACGCAAGTCAAGAGAAAACGCTGAACGTTGTACAGCATCATAGACCCACACGAAGTCCGGCAACCCCGATACGACGGGACTATGCCTTCGCCATCCACAGGTATGAGCCGCAAGAATTCAGCACAACATGAAGCCCCGCTGTACTGCTCTCAGCGTGGCTGCCATGCCACATTCCAAGGGTCCTACGCGAAGGGCAGTCTTGCACGTCACCGGCGACTGAAGCATGGTAACCACCATGATCGAGACGGGAGGGAATACGGCTGTGAAGAGCCTGGATG